GTAGTAAAAATATACCTTCAGCACAAACTGTAAATATTGTGATCCTAAAGCTGAAAATAATTTTAAAAAGTGTGAAATAATGAAAAACATTTTACCTAGTAACTTCAGCCCACTTATTAGTCTGGGAAATCTCATCTAAAAAGAAGACAAAGACAAAGCACTAAAACATTACAGCCCACGAGGGCAGTGAGAGGTAACTTTGAGCCCCACAAGTACAGCGCTTAACTACCTGAAAACACATGAAAAAACCAATTCATAAAGAGAAACACAAATGCAGTGGACTCTGAGAAATGTCTGACCTCACTTTGATTGCTGAAGAAACAAATTACCACTTTTAGACTAACGAAGTGGCAAAGCTATTCTAAAATGTGAACACATGGTTTGTTAAAGGACAGGAAAAAAGCACTTTCATGAAGCCTTGCTGATATTTCTAAGGGCAATTTGGCAATAACATACCAAAAGTCTTTCAGTTTTCACAGATTCATGTTAACATGTTTAATCATCGGAAGCATACAACTCCACATAACTGTAGAGGCAGGGACATGAAGCTGGCAAGTCGCCCTTTTCTGGGCACTCTGCTGTGGTTTTGGCCCTGGAAGGGGGTGGCCCCACTGTCGGCTCTACTCCAGGCTCTACTCCTACCTCCCAAAGGCACCTGCTGCCACTGCCCTGCCCATCAGGGATCTAAAGACCATTTGTGTCTTTAGCTTTGGCACAGCTCACTCTGTTCTTAAATGGCAGGGAGGTAGGTGGACCCTGTCCAGTTACAGGAGATCCGCTATGCCACTTCTTCCATCAAGCCTGTCTCAAAACCTCTCCTCTTCCCCAAGGAGCTCCACCCAGCTATCTATCTCCCTTAGAAGTTTCTTGTCCCAAGGCTCCTTATTTACTTCTTCATGGCACAGTTCTCTGGCCATTTTGGAAAGGAATAAAAATGGAGTCTCTTCTAACGTGGAGCAAATGTACTCATGCTTCTACAGCTATAAAAGGTTCCCATCTGTTGGCTGATCCATGGTAACAGCAGCTTCCACTGACTGGCTGTATCAGGTATGCAACATTAGTAGAAGTTGAAGAGTTGAGAAATCACTAAAGGAATAGCTGGAAAACCAAATGAGATATTCCTGGGAGTGCAGAAGCTTCTGGGTAAATTCATTCATTCATTCATTCAGCACTCACTCCCTGAGCAGGGCGCCACCTTCCAGGAGGGCAGGCAGACCTGAGTGAAGAGACAGCCACCTACACTGAGACTCCTACAGTTGGCTGTGTGGTGACAGGTCCAGAGGTCAGACGGTAAATGCCTCAGGGGAAGGGAAATGGGACAGATCAGTGAGTGTGAATTTTAAGCAAAGAAAATATCTCTATCACCGACAGCCCCAGGGCCTGAAACTTCCTGACTCTACAGAAGCATGACTGGGGGTCAGGGCACCAAGTACTCCCCACTCATGTCCTGTCCCCGACGCCATCACAGATTACTCAGGCAAGGAGCCTCCTTATCTTGAATGTTTCGGGGAGCCTCAGTGTCAATCTTTCCCTTGTCCTTTCATCACACCCTCAAAAGAAACGGTGGTTTTAGAGCACTGGCAAAATAGAAAATAAGCAGGGAAGAAGCGGTGCCTCTGCCCCAAGGGCTGGGCATCATGCAGGACTAGCGACAGGCCTGGAGGTGCAGAGGCTTCCCCAGTACAGAACAGGCCCTACACCTGGAAGCCAAGTGCTGGGCCCTCGGAACACGTTTTCCCACAGAGTTGAGACACAAGTCAGGGTTCACTCAGGTCAGGCTGACAAGGCTCCGTAGTAACTTGTGTAGTCCCAAAGGCCCACACTATTTTTCCATATTTTTATTGAGGCAGAATTCCTATACAATTCACCCCTTTAAAGTATACAATTCAGTGGTTTTTATCACATTCACAAAGTTGTACAACCATCACCCATATCTAATTTTAGAACATTTTGTCGCCCTCAAAAAAAACCCCCAAAACAAAAAAACCTGCACAGTTTAGCAGGCACGCCTTCTTCCTTCTCAGCCCCTCAAAACCACTAATCTACTTCCTGTCTTTACAGATTTGCCCACTGTGAACATTTCATATAAATGCAATCATAAACTATGTGGCCATTCGCGCATGGCTTCTTTCACTCAGCATAATAGTTTCAAGTCTCATCCAAGGTTTACCATGTATCAGTACCTAGATTATTTTTCAAAAGACTTTTAAAAGTTTCTATTTTCTACCTCAAATAAAATCCCATTCTGTCCTGGCTGGGGTGGCTCAGTGGATTGAGCACAGACCTGTGAAGCAAAGGGTTGCCAGTTTGATTCCCGGTCAGGACACATGCCTGGGTCACGGGCCGGGTCCCCAGTGGGGGACACATGAGAGGCAACCATACACTGATGTTTCTCTCCTACTCTTTCTCTTTCCCTTCCCCTCTCTCTAAAAATAAATAAATAAAATACCCAAAATTTTAAAATCCCATTCTAAGAATTTATACTATAGAAATACTCAGAAATGCGTAAAAGCATCTGTGTGCAAGTATACATTACAATATTATTTATGATAGAAAATAATCAAAGGTGTAATGAAGAGACTGCATAAACTTATACATTATGTGATGGAATACTATGTAATATAAGTAAGATTTTGAAGGATATTATAAGATATGAGAAAAAGCTCATTCTTAAAGAAAGTTAAAAATTGTATTTTATAAAACGTATTTGGTGGGCCCTGGCTGGTGTGACTCAGTGGACTGAGCACCAGCCTGCAAACCAAAGGGTCGCCAATTTGATTCCCAGTCAGGGCACACGCCTGGGTTGCGGGTCAGGTCCCTAGTAGGGGCCACATGAGAGGCAACCACACAGTGATGTTTCTCTCTTGTTCCCTTCCCCTCTCTCTAAAAATAAATAAATAAATCTTTCAAAAGAAAAGTTATGAAAAACAGAAAAATGACAACAAATATAAAGCAAAAACTGAGTTAGTAGCAAATAAATGGAATAGATCAATAATCCAAGAACTGGTTCTCTCTCTCTCTCTCTCTCTCTCTCTCTCTTTTAAAGGGATGCTTAAGAAGTTTGACAAGAGCCCTGGCTGGTGCAGCTCAGTGGATTGAGCACGGGCCTGTGAAGCAAAGGATCACGGTTCGATTCCCAGTCAGGGCACATGCCTGGGTTGTAGGCCAGTTCCCATCAGGGGACTCACAAGAGGCAACCATACATTGATATTTCTCTCCCTCTCTCCTTCCCTTCCCCTCTAAAGATAAATAAATAAAATCTTTAAAAAAAAAAAAGACAAGAAAAACAAAGCTACACAAATAAAATTAGAAATGCTACATAAATAAAATTAGAAATGCAAACAAAGGTGGGTCTAAATGCTTAAAGTACAAACAATACATGCTACTAAATGTGCAGGTGTGAAACAAGTGGGAAAGGAGTTACAAAAACAGACTCAAAAAGTGAAAAAGCTCAAGTCAAAAAAACAAAAATAAATCTTTCAGGCTTATCCATAGACTTACCTCCCCAAAAAGTCTTTGTGACAGATAATTTAAAGTAAGTTCTCTCAAACTTTCCAAAACAAACAATTCTAAAGCTACATCAAATGTTCCAGGACATACAAAATCATAACAAGTTACTAAATGAATTTTATGGGGCTATTTCACCTGAAATCAAAACACAACCAAGGCTTCTTTTCCACACTAAAGAAAACCATACACATGGACCAGAAAATTCTAAATACAAAATACAAATACCCAAAACCAAATTGGTCATCTAAGTTAATGCTCAAAACACTCCTGTGAAATTCAACACCCATTCTTATTAAAACCACTAAAAGCCACAAATCAAAGAATAATCATTTGCATGTCTCTCCCAGCCACTACAAAAACAATAAAATTCATGCAAAAAAAGTTGAAAATATTCCACGTAAATGAAGAGTAAAATAAGAGAAACCATCAAGAAAAGCTAATTTGATAAGCCACAAAGCAAAACCAAGAGCAGTTAGTTACATCAACATAAAGTAAAAATTTAAATGGAGGAAGGGAAATCCTATTAGTATCAGCAACACCAATAATCGAACCATCATTAAGTAAATAAAACAAAAACTGAAAGTATCTGGAACTAATACTAACCCAAAAATGTCAGATCCTAAACACAAAGAAAATTACCCACCTTGACTGTTACAAAAGAATTTTTTTAAAACAGGGATATTTTATTCCTAGATGAGATAGCTGAATAATATAAAGAAAACAATATTTAAATACTCCATTCCTAATACTGGAGTCACACCTTACACAAGTAGGTTCTAAAGTCAGCCCCTGAAGCCAAAATTAAAGTCATACAAGAAATGCTATATAGCCATTAAAAAATATGAAGGAAATTCAGATCAATCAACATGGGAAAATGATCACCATAAACTGTTAAGAGGAAAAAAATTGTCAACACAAAAGGATCACTATGATCTCATGGTAGATGTGGGTAAAGAGACAGTTACTTAGAAATACAGAAAACACTGAAGCGCACAGTTGCTACCTCTGGGTAGGGAGGTCGCATGATTGTATGCACTTAGAACTTCTGCAGAAAGCACAGCGCTTTTATAAATGGGGGTGCGGCCAGTTTAAAAGGAAAAGAAATACATCAAAATATCAATTATATGTTTTGAGGTGGCCTAATTATGGCTATTTTTTAATTGCTTCAACATACGTTTCTGTATTTTCCAAATTTTGTACTAAAATCATAAAAAAAACAAACCTCTGTGAAAGACTGTACAGAAATGTAAACAACATGTTAATACATTTCATTTGGACCCTCCTGTTCTTTTTGTGCTTACATGTGCCAAATTCTCAGTTATTCTCCAACCGCAGTATTATTTTCAGCATTAAATTCTAAATCTACCAGGAATCATTTCCATCAGAGCAAAAAGGACAAAGAAGTCCAAACTGCTCACATGCTTGTTCAAATTAAAAAGGAAAACCAGATATGATGAAGAACCACAAAAAGTGTGCGCCCAGAGTCTTACCGTAAAACTGTTGTTGACGTTTTTGGTGCTGGATTCAGCCACGCTGGCATCTGTCAGGTCCACCTCATCAAATATGATTGACTGGGGAGAGACACAGGGGCCACAGCCAGGGTGAGGCTCCAGAACCCCCTAGGCAGACATGTTCCCAGGCCCTGGCCCAATGCTGCTCACCACTGTCCTCAACCCCAGGCAGTGCCCACAGAGGCCCAGGCCCTGAAAGTGGAGGCTTGGGGACAAAACAAACACTGGCTGCACCCCCCCCAACAAGCCAGAGGTAGGGCTCTGTGATTTTTTTTTAATCCAGGGAGGTCATGAGTGATTGCACTGGTAGAGAAAATAAATAATAATAATAATACTGCGATTCTGTATTTATTTTCCGCAACACCAGTGTCTCACTTTCAAATGTGAAATATGCCCTCAGATGAGGTCCACCTGGGAGAACAGGGGTCAGGACTGAAGACCCTCTGTCCTGGCTTCAGCTTCTCCAAGAAGCACATTTGGAAGAAAGGTCCCCACTAAAATAAGTGATTTTAGGGGAAGAGAGACCAATCCACAGAGAAGAAATCTGGCTGTGAAAGAAAATGAGGGAGCAAAGTAAAGGAATCTAGTCCTGGAGAAAGAGAGGCTCCGTATGAAGGGCTGGAAATTAGGCTTGGGAATTCCCACCATTTTCCTTCCTCTCCCCGAAGTCCCCCCTCACATTCCCCTCCTCCTGTGAACCTTACTGGACCCTCTGGGAGGACTCCATAGGGAACCGCTGGAGGAAATACTAGTAACTCAGAAAAGAGACTCAGCCTTTTGAGTAACCTCTCCAACCCCCATAGAACTAAAATAACTATAAGGGTTTGTGGGGGGTTTTTAAGTGAGGAATATGGTCACAGCCCTTTCTAAACAAGTTGCTCTGTTCAGTTTCAAAGTTTAACCCACTGCCTCTCTAGGGATACATCTCAAAATGCAAATGATTCAGATTCCAGATTTTTCTTAACACCAAAATAGAAGTATTGACAGCAATACTGATACAAAAATACTGGTGTTGAGAATACCAAAAACTAGCTTTGCGAGCACACAGGTGTTTGAGATGTGGAAGACCACGTTCGTTTAAACGCAGCGGTAACTTCGTGCCTGCCACAGGCTCCTCCCTCCTCTCTCACGAAACGTGTGCCTGGTGATTCCAGCTTCTGTCTCCCGGGCAAGATGGCACCCAGAAGGAAGGGTCCCGGCCAGAAAGCCCAGTGATGAAGAACTGCTGTTCACACACCAATAAGCCCAGTTTTCAAAAATACTTTTCATTAGTTTCACAGAGGTATACTTATTTCCAAACTCATCAGGTTATATATATTAAATATCTATAGCTTTTTGTATGCCAATTAAACCTCAATAAAATGGTTTTTAAAAAGACACTGTACTCCATAATAAGAGATGTATAAGCCTGTAACCCCTGATCTTTCTACGAGAAAGATATCCAGCTATATAATATGGCTATTTCTGGGACGTTCTCTCCTTTTCCACTGGTGACACACTACATTTAAAAAATTGATTAAAATAAATGTTTATAAGCACTAAAACGTGCCTTGAGACAGATAAAACCTACTACCCTGGAGTATCAGGAGACTCTAGAAAAAACAGCTTTAAGAATCAAAGGTGTCCCCCAGATGAGGACCCAGCACCCAAATCTCCCTGGCAGGACCCCAGATGTCTCTCCTCCCATGAAGTTCCCAGCACTGCACCTCACCTTTGCGGTCTTTGCATAGTACAGTGTTCGCCCTCGCAGCTTAAAGTATCTCCTTTTGGACCTCTGGAATGAATTGTTCTGTTTGGTCAGCATCCCCTCTTTGATGACGGTCTGAAAGCACAGAAATGAACTCATGAGCACATGTTTCCACAGACCCCTGTGTTCGTCCACCCAAACTGCACTGACGGTCTGGTGCATTCACATCTCTCACTAGTAACAGCCTAACAGAAATATTTCTCACACTCTCCCCAGACCTTGACCTATGGACAGGCCAAGCACGCTGCCAAGGGAGGGCTAACACAATTCTCTGCGGGGCAATGGCATGCCTGAGTGGTGGGGGTTTCAGAGGCCAAGGTGTGCCCTGGATGCCCAGGGGAGCAGCAGAAAGGGACAGGCTAGAAGGACCACAGCAAGCGGCCCAGGGCCAGTACATTCTCCAACTTCAGCATTTGGTATTTTTCAGCTATTCTTGGCCCCGTCTCCATATTCTCAGGCCTCCTGCCATTTCTCAGGATCCTAATGCCAAAACTGTCAACGTAGGTTGCTGTGGGGTTCAGCACAGCTCCGGGCCTGCACCCCACTCAGCCCTCACCCCATTCACAGGGACATGCGTCTGTCCACACTGTGAGAGAGAAGAGGATAGCCACAGTCACCAAAACTCATCTCATCTAGTAAATCTGATCAGTCCACCGCAAAACAGAAGTTGTGGTAAGAGAAGCAAGGGGTGGACAGCTGTCCACTCAGGTGGTCTCAATGAAAAAGTGGGGCATGGCCTTTCCTAGAGCTGTTTCCCCTCACACTGCATCCGGTGTGCTGGCCACCTAACAGGCCGAGGGAGCCCCGTGGACCACCTCGAAGTTACATGCTCCAGGAACAGGGCTTGGTCATTGACACGTGGAGCCACTTGGAGCCACTAACATAGTCAAAACTAATAGGCAAGATGCACGAAACAAGAGCCTGTTCTCAGCATCTGCAGAGTATATTTTATCCCACCTAAGAGAAACATCTGTTATACACAGCGTCTCATCACAGAATGGAGGCAGAATGTATAAAAATTCTGTTAAAGGACAGGAATATTGGTTCAGAGATGCTTCTATTTAGTTATCCAATCCCATATAGCTTTGCACCTTAAGTGACTTTTCTTCAAAGTATCTATACGAAGCACTTGGGTATCAGTGACCACTTGAGATGACATAAGACAAAACCAGACACAGATCTCTCCCATCACCCAAATGCACCAGAAGGCAAGGGCAGAACACCGGTCATCTGGTCCTTCCTTACCAGAGAGGGAGCAGTGTTGTTACCTGCCCCCACAGAAGGATGCCAAAGAAAGCCCCTGCCCCCCACACACCACCCACAGTTGCCGTGCAACAGAGCCCTCACCTCAGTGGCACGGCAGTCCAGGGTGTCCTGGGAATGCAGACAGCATGCTCCTCTCCAACCCCCCACTCCAACGCCCCTCTGTGAGCCCCCTCAGCACATGCTGGCTCCCACCACAGGCCAGGGGTGATGGAAGCTGGGCTGTGGGGCCAGCCTAGCAGTACAAACAGCAGTGCTGTCCGACCCCCGAGAGAACTGACCCAGGAAGAAATTACTGAGGGCCCCACCTACTCACTCAGTGATGTACACCTGTACCTTCACGCATGAGGAGGTTGCCCACCTGCTCTCCCAAGTAATGGCGCCAGAAGAGAGGAACACAACATCACCCAGTGGTCAAGAGAAAAGACACACCGAACTACAGTCAGAGAGCCTGAAACCTACATCCTTACTGAACAAAGGCCTGGCTTTCCAAAGTGTGGGGAAATGTGCTGAACCAGACCCAGGGCGATCCCAGGAGCTCCAGAGAGAAACAAGTCTGTACTCGGGAGAAACTCCCGGGCTGCCTCCCAGCCTTCTCTGCAGACCCAGGTGTACATGGTGATGCTCATTTCAGTGTGCCCTTCAAAGACGCAGGCTGGCCTGTCTGCACACAGCAGCACAGGGCCCCAGGTGCCTGCACCCCACCGCAGGAGAGCCTTTTTTCTTGACCCACAGAACCCGCTCTCAGGCGCAGGCACCTCTCCTCACCCACGCAGGTACTTCTCCTCACCCATGTGTCTTCCTTACCTCTGCAGGGGAAGGAATTGCTTCCATCTCTTCCCCAAATGCAATTTTTTTTTAAAAAAGGCAACAAAACCAACAAGCACAGACCCAGAAAAGTTATAACTTATCTTTAAAGGATAAATGCTAGGAGCATTTTCCCTTGCGTCTCCTGCTCCACATGTCACACATTAAAAAAGCAAAATTAAAACACGATCCACCACACACACACACATCTTTCGTAAGGCGGATGACAGCTGATCGTGGGCTACCCAAGGGGAGCTGCTGTTCTATTTATAGAACACGCACGCCCAGAAAAAAGACTGGCGGGTTTCAGCGGAAAAGGCTGGAGAAGAGATAAAGGCAGCATTTCTTTGAAGCTTTCTCAGAAACAGCATTTCTTCTGATTCACTGCTCATGAAATACTATAGATATGTTGCAGAATATTTTTAAACACTCAGTCAAAAGCCATGAACTAAAAGTGGTCAAGAAAAAAACACATCTGAATAATGTGCTATGTTTTGCATCAGGCAGCCTGTAACCAGCACCCACAGGAAACACTGCTCGGCTGGCGAGCCTCCTCCTTACAACCTGCAGAGCAGAGAGCCAGAGTCAGACACCCAGATCTCAAGCGCAGCTCACTCAGTGCACGCTGGGCGGCCAGGCTCTCAGAATCGACCTATCACATTCTTTGCACAAACAAGAGGGCCAACGCTGTCAAAGAGGGCACCTTTATTACCACCAGGGACAAGAAAGAGTAGATTTGCAACACACACAGGCACTGAGAATAACAGCAAGTGAGAATGTGAGCACTGGCAAACCTCCAGAGAGGAAGCAAATCCTCCAGCTGGGTCCAGGGGTGAAAGGCACTAGAGTGCTCGGCCTGAGTCTAAGTGTGGCCCTGGGTGCCACAGCCACCCACTACGCAGAAAGATGTGGGCCCAGCCACAAGAGAGACCTCAGAGTCATCTGCTGCAGAGGAATCTCAGGAACAAAGAACTGAGGAAGGCACCTCTGGAAATGCCCTGAAAAGAGGAGTCAACAAAGGGACAGAGAAAGGCGAAAACAGGCCCTGTGAGCCCTGGTCAAACCCACCTGCCCACAAGGCCCTGTCTCCAAGGGGCTGTAGGGGCCCAGTCATGGGGTGCAGATGCCCCTCTTGGGAAAGGCAATAGGAGCCCCTTCCCTCATCAGTCCCCCTTTAGTTACAGTATAGCCCCAGCACTGACTCTGAGGACTATGGGGACAGCTCAGACCAGGGGAGGGTGGAGGACATGGGCATCAAGAAGGGAGCCATCCCTCCACCTTCCCGAGAGGGAAGGCATCAGAGAGCAGGTCTCAGAAGGTAAGCAGGGGTCTGAGCAGACCAGGCGGAGGGCATGAAACCATCAGAGCCTAAAGAGAGCCCGAGAGGGCCAGCAAGGTGGGGGCCCGGCCCAGAGCACTGACAGCCAGGCCTGTGAGTCACAGGTCAAGGGGTGGTGTCTCCAATGTACACTTCAGAAATGATTTTGGCTGCAGTGTGGAGCAAAGAGGGAGGGGGTGAAACCTGGAGGCAGGAAGAACACTCCAAAAGCTCTTACAAAAGGGCAGCCAGCAACGATGAGTACCCGAGAGGAAGGGGACATGACACAGGCCTTCGTGTCAGGGAAGACAACACTGACAGAAGCCAGGAGGCAGGCCCGGAACCAAGGATGACTCCATGGGGCCTCAAGGGGGAGGAGTCAGCTTCGTTCTGGACATCCTGGCTCTGAGGGCCTTGAGGACACTGGGTGAGCTGAGTGGAGAGCAAGCTGCAGACACACACTGGAGGGGAATAAGTGAAAGTTTAACTGGGGAGAGGCTTCAAGGTAGTCCCTTACAAAGAAAGGAGAGAATGGGAGGAGGCCTAGGGACCCAACCAGGAGCCCAAGGATACCAACATCAACGTACAGAGGAGGCGGGAGTCGAAGAGGAGGATGAGAGTGAGCAGAAAAGCAGGGAGCAGATCAAAGCACTGGGAAGACCCGGAGGGTGTCAAACACAGCTGCGAGGTTGTGAGTGGAACTGGGCAGAGCCAGGAGGACCTGCCAGCGCAGACTCTCAGCCTGGCCCAGGGGAAAGCCAGGTTGAAGTGCACTGAAGGAGTTGTTTTTCTCCACTGGCATGTTAACTTTTCATAAACACGGGGCCAGGCTGTACGCACTGTACTTTTAACTTCCTATTTCTTCTGCCATGCTGTGCTGTCAGCACCCTTCCATATTGGTAAACATGTTTTTGTCGGCTGCAGAGTATCCCCTGTACTGAGGTGCAGACATCAACCCCACTGGGGGACCCTGGGAGGGCTCCTCGCTCAGCACTACCAGCATCGCAGCCACACACCTGCACGAGCCCTGGGCTGCTCCTTGGGGCAGGTCACTACGAGTAGAATTTGGGGATCAAAGATAGCCCGGAAACAGATCTGAAACCAAGACATGTAACAGCAGTAGTGTTGCAGGCTAGGGCAGCAGAGAGCCAGCCAAGTCCATGAACAGGGCTGAAACACAGCCATGCAAGAAGAAAATGCAAGGGTCCCTTTCCTCACACACCACAGACAAAAGCTGCTTCCAGGCACATGAGAGACCCAATGCGAAGAGCAAAAGTTAAGTTTCAGCAAATGATACAGAAGAATTTCTTTAAGACTTTGGGTCTCGGAAAAGTTTCTCAAAAAGGATTTAAAAAACAGCCTGGCTGGTGTGGCTCAGTGGATTGAGTGCTGGCTTTCTAACCATAAGGTCGCTTCGATTCCCAGTCAGGGCACATGCCTGGGTTGTGGGCTGGGCCCCCAATCGAGGGCATGAGAGAGGCAATTAATAGCTGTTTCTTTCCCTGTCTTTCTCCCTCCTTTCCCTTCTCTCTCTAAAAATGAATACATAAAATCCTTTTCACAAATTTTTAACAAGCAGGGATATTAGCATAAAAAAGTTAATATACAAAAGGACTACTAAAATGTTTCAGTGGAAAGAAGCTAGAAAAACTTATTACCTTAAATTTGCATTGCACTTTTCATGAGC